GCCCCGGCCCAGGCCGCCCGGGCCGTGCCGCAGAGCGGTCGGCGGGGCGGCGACTGCCGAGGGGTGCGGCCCGGGTGCTTCCCTGCGCTCCCTCTGATGGCGGCGTTCGGGCTCGGGCCCGTGTTGTCCTCTGCCAAGGGCTAAGCATCCCTGCACCCAGCTGACTTGGTCCTGTCCCGTTTCTCAGGTGGCAGTCGATATGGAGTTTGCCAAAAACATGTATGAGTTGCACAAGAAGGTGTCTCCTAGCGAGATCATCTTGGGCTGGTAAGTCCTCCTTCTGCAAGAACATGCAAGTAGCTGTGTCGGTCCCGTCAACTACTTGAAACCTTGTCACAGGTTGGGAAGCAGAAGCACTAGTGCTTGTGACAGTAACGTTGCAACTCTTGTTATAGAGTCAGTTGTAAAGCTGCTGCAATTCATAATAGGAGGAGACGGTACTGGAGACTTACAGGGTTTATTTTTATTTATATCTAGACAAGGTATCGCAGAGGAGTGATGAGTTAGAGAATACTTGCACGGATTTGTTAGAAGAACGTATCCACCTGTAATACAACCTGCACCACAGAAGATAACTGGTTAGAAAGAAGGGAGAACACAAAAGAGTAGTTCAAAGTACCGAAGGCCTCGGGAGGAATCAGTGATATCAGCTTGAGCGTCCAGAAGTTCTCTGCTGAGCGAAGGTGGAAGCACTTGTGTGGGGATGCCAAGCAAGATCAGTAGGGTGTTATGGGAAGAGAGGCTGTGTCTGAGTGTGTGGATAGGCAGCTTTATTAGTCTTTTCATGCTTCTCTCATTCTATGAAATAGCTTAGTTCTGTTCTTGTGGAGCAAACTTCCTCAACAACCTTTTAATGGCCCAGCAAACTGCAGTTCTAATGACAGGAGTTTTCCTGTATATGCGAGAAGCTAATTGCAGAGCAGCTAAAGGAGCTAGATTAACAAGCTCTACCTCCTGCAGAGAGGATTGATTTGTGGAAGATCTGCTTGGTTGGTCCAGATTTAGTTGGCATGCTTTGGCTTACACAGAAATAAAGAGTTGGTCCAGAGCATAGTGACAGATAACTGAATCTTGGGCATCTGATGTCAGCTGTATCAACTCTTTAAGGCTGGTACTGCAGCACTGGCCCTGTGCATGTTTCGGGCATGTGTGTGCTCAGCCTGTGATTCCTACAATTCTAGGACAGCTGGTCATAAAACTACAAATTCCCTAGTTAAACCACTTGTATTTAGTATGCTTCTGCAGCCCAATGTTTGGAAATCAGTGTTTTGGGATACAAACCTGCTAAATACCAACAATACCAAACATTGGGCACTTGAATGTTGGAAGAATGCCTCCTCAACATGTGCTCTTTTGAAGGTATGCAACAGGTCATGACATCACGGAACACTCTGTCCTGATCCACGAATATTACAGCCGGGAAGCGCACAATCCAGTCCACCTCACTGTGGACACAAGTCTCCAGAATTCACGCATGAGCATTAAAGCCTATGTCAGGTACTCTGGGAGGCTGCATTTCTGGGAGGGGAGCGATCCGAATTACTGAGAGAGACCATGTCAGGGTAACAAGGAATGTAGTGGGCTGCAGTGTCTCATTTTGGAAATATTGTGCAGTAGCTAAAACACAGCAGTGAGCCAGGGATCATGGCTTACCTCCCATCAGAATGTCTTGACCATCATATGTAAGTTGAAAGACCTAACCTTTCATAAGCTGGTAGCTTGTTGGGCTGGGGAATCGTGACTTTAATTAACAGCGTTCTGAACATCTTCGTGGCATTTCACAGGATTCATGTAGCTAGCATTAATGTCACTAACTTCCATCACGCTGTCTGAATGCTAGCCTGTAGTCACTGGCCTTTGTTACTTGGCAGTTTTTATTTATACAAGTTGGAGGATTAGTGCAGTTAAAACATAATTGAAACAGCATCTTCTTGATCAGTCTTTCTTCCCCTAAGCCCCTTCCATTTTTATCAATTGATAATGGAGATTAAATATGGAGAAATGAAACTATTCCACCTCACTGTTCTTCCCAGTACTGGCTGAAGAGCTCTCCTTTTTAAGGATAAAACCCCAGCCTTTCTTTGTAGCGGAAGTCTACTGCTTCTTGACTGTGCCTCTTCAAAAAGGAAGCTGTTCCGTGACACCTTACTTACTTAAAGCATAAAATGAAGTTCAAATACTTTGAATAATAGGAATAATAAAGGTGTTGAGAGTGCTTTGTACTTCAATTTTTGTCATACTTATGTTTGTTCCTGAAGTGATTTCTCAAAGAGCATGGAGTATTTTAGGATAGAAGAATACCTGGTCTATAAGCAAGAAGGAACTGTGGCTAAGAAGATAGTACTTAGCCCTTCACGCTTTCATGCTGACAAACTTCAGACCAGCTAGGAATATTCTTGGATGAAAATGAGCAATTAATAGTATGCCAGCACTCATTTCCTGTCCTCAGTTATCCATGGTCTTAATATTGCTGATTTTGGTGAGAATGAGTAACCTACTCGTGTTCACACTTCAGTGCTAACAGAGTTCATTGAGATGGAAATCTATTACTTCCTCCCTTAAATACGTCCATGCTGAAAATGGTTTGTTGTTTTGTTTTTGTTTTTTTCTAGTGCCCCAATGGGAGTCCCTGGTAAAACTATGGGCGTGATGTTCACACCTCTAACAGTGAAATATGTTTATTATGATACAGAGCGGATAGGAGGTGAATGTTTTCTTCCTATTTTGGTTATAACCATTGTTGTGACACTGTTTAAATGCTTGTTTTACCCTGGTAAAATGGCCATTCTACTGGGAATTAGACTGTCTTGCTGAAGCTGTCATAAAAGTCTTAAAAAAGTTAAGGATTTAAGCTGTTTTCTGTGGCAGTCAGTTTTTTCACTAATCCTGCTTTTGCTTTCAGTGGACCTTATCATGAAGACTTGTTTTAGCCCTAATCGAGTGATTGGCTTATCCAGTGACTTACAGCAGGTGGGGTCAGCATCAGCCAGGATTCAGGATACCCTGACCATGGTGCTCCAGTATGCAGAGGATGTATTGGTAAGGCCAGCTTTTTCTGAGTCAGCAGATAAGTCTGATGTAGGCTTGTGCATCTTGTTCTTCTTTTTATATATTCTCTTTCTGGGCCATAAACTTACTGAGTTTTACTCACATCAACGTGTATGTTTCTTATGCTTAGTCTGGCAAAGTGGCTGCTGACAACACTGTCGGGCGATTCCTGATGGATCTTATTAACCAGGTGCCAAAGATTTCACCAGAGGACTTTGAGACAATGTTGAACAGCAATATCAATGTAAGTTCATCATCTGATTTTTTTCAGTGTATTGCCAGCAATTTTGAAAATTTGTTATACAGACGCAAATTTGTCTGTGATCAAAACAATCTATCTTTTCATACAAACACGTTAATAGAAAATACAGCCCTTTCTTGTCGGTAATTTGATGTTTTAAGAGCTAAAGGTGGATAAAGGAGCTCACCATAATAATCTTGCAAGCAACTGCAAATGAGAGAGTAAGTTTTAAAGTACTTAGGAATTATGCAAGCAATCTGAAAGCCAGCACCAATTCTTCTTTTAGAATGATTGGACAATATGAATTACCAAGCTTAAAGCAGTAGGGATTTCAAGGATAACTGGTGACTTGCCAGCTTCCTTTGCCTGAGCTGAAGTTCTGTCTCCTTGCGTAACACTTAGGACATGAACAAGGTTTTAGTGTGCTACCTTATTTCTGTAACAGATTTTTAGAAAGCGAAAGCTACGTTTCTGGATGTGTTGTTCACCCACAGTCTGCAAGACCAGCACTAATTTTTAATTTTGCTTATACCCTTTGACTTGCCTGGTTAACATGGGTGAACTCAGAGTTAAAATTTCACAAGCAGTGTTTCATATTCTGGGAATACCAAAACCTTCTTCCTGTGAGGGAAGCATTCCTCAGGGTAGGACTTTCAGGACTAACAATATTTCTGATAGCTGATTGTAAACTGCTTTATAGGTGTTAAAAATTCAACTCCCTAATGGGCTACCATCTTTGTTAATATTTCTGATCACTGTTTTTTTTTTTTCCCCTCTCAGGACCTACTGATGGTAACCTACTTGGCAAACCTCACACAGTCACAGATTGCTCTCAACGAAAAACTTCTGAGTTTATAAAGAAACTCCTGCCACCCTACACTTCAAAGAGTCTGAAGAATGAGCAGATACACTTTTCTATGGTGGTGTTACAAATTTCCTTGGACCGTAATTTAATTACCTAGATGGCTTGGTTTACATCTTTATTTCCATTGCCCTGAAAAATCCCTAACGTGGTTTAGGAAATGAATGGGAACAGCTGCAGTTTAGTTGAGCCCAGTATTTTAAAATGGAATAGGTGAATCTTTTGTCCCCTGGGTTTACCTACTTGTATAACAAAATGCAGCTTTATTGTAAGAATGTATTTGAAATAAAAATTTCATTGCAATGGCAAGAATGGCTTCTGTCCAGAAAAAAACTGTTCTTATTTATTGTATAACGAATCCCCGTTTGAAAGAAAGGGGGGATAACATCACATCAGGAAAAGAAAACTAGAGTGGATGCAAGTCAACTCCAATTCTGCAGGCTTCTTTGCGGGGTTTTTTTGCCAACTGTTAAAGCACACTGAAAGCGTGGCTTTTTGTATTGCACATAATATGCTTTTCCATGGAGGACTACAGAATGGTCACTGGTTTATTAGCGGTGTATATGCCCTTCTTCAGCAGGGTACTGACAGAGTATGAGACTGAATTCAGTTTACATTATGGTATTTCTATGCATATCTGATCCTTTGGGAAAGGACAATGCGGTCAACAGCATTAGGCCCTCCAGGTGAGGCTTCAGAGAATTAAACTAGCAACTGAGTTCATGGTTAAAAAGGCTTGAAAAACATTTGTGGCTGAACAAGTGTGGCTACTGGAGTTGCCATCTGTGCAAAACAAGAAAAGCACAGCAAAAGTACACTTCATGAAGTTCTGAGGTTAAAATTCGGGTGTCATCAAACAGCAATTTTCTGGTTTGTGACCCTGTACTGCTGCTAAAAATATGTGAACAGAGACTTCCCCTTTTCTCTCCCAAACCTATTTCACGTTAAATGAGTTCTAGCTGAAAGAAAGCCAATACCAATCTGAGCTGTAACTTTTTACAGTCTCAGCTAGTAGCATTACCTTTAGAAATCTGTTAGGCTGTACTGAGGAGGTTTTGCCTAATAGAGTAAAAGTGTCCCTCTTCTACAACGTAACTGTTCCCAGCTAATTACTAATGACTATTTCTGATGCCTCACATCTGTTTTGGTAAATGAATCTGAAATCTTAGAGAAGCCTGGAAAGCCAGTGTTCCCCAAAATAATTTTTGTGCTAATTTGCCAGATAAATCCAAGAATGGGATTTGGGTTACAAATCTGTAGATCCTGTACTGGTTGTTCCAATCTAGAGAATTCCCACAGGGACTCAATGCTAAATAAGTTCTAATTGCAAGGACAAGGTACATGAAAACTGAAGGTATAGCAAAGATTCTAGTCTCTTTGAAAATATTATTTGTGAGCATTAAATAAGTGTTAAAACTTGGCTCTTGTTTTTTATTAGTCTGAATAAAAATGTTTTGTTTTCCCTTCTCTTCTTTAAACTTGATACTCATAACTGGCCATTTAACTATTTCAGAAATTTTCAGGTCAAGGTGTTTTTTAAAGTAAGCCTTGAAATAGGTGGAGGAAAAGAGCAAGCAGCAAAGCTGGATAAGTCTCAATTGCTGCAAAAAAGTTGCAGGGGGGAAAAGCATAATATTCTCTCTCTGATCTCTCCTCTACAGTAAACTCTTGCCATTCCCTGTTAGTAAAACTGATGAAATGTAAGAGGAAAGATTTGAAATGCTCTACAAGTTGAATAGCTATGCTATTTAATAAGCTGCTATGCACAAAACGCAAAGTTCTGAGAAGAAAGATAAATTTGTGATCATTGATATAGAAAAGGTATTGTGGAATTTGCCAGTTCTTAGAAGTACCTGAAGACTAATGAGGATATGTCGTAAGGGACTGAGGTTACATCTTCCTAGGCAGAAATTCACTGCAGAGTAGAGGTGTCAGAAGAGCCCACGATCCATAGATTCCATTGTATGCCAGACAGCACAGTGACAAATGCTTGGAACTGGAGTAGGAAAAAAGCAGTTGCCCTTTTGAGAACTCTGTATCTGATGCCATCCATTCTGTCCCTTTTTACTGAGTGAACAGCACATTGTGAACCTTACTTTGACTCTGGAATTTGAATGCCTGATTTCAAATTTCAGTGGCCACTCTTATGCAGGACAATACTGCAAACACAAATGTAATGCATCATTTTGCTTAATTGTAAAGCCTGGGTTGTATTATTACATTCGAGGCATTCCTTCTCTGGAGTTTGAAAATCTAGGCAGGAATTCCTAAAGGTATTTTATTTGAATTGTTCCACTTTATGGAAATCTAAAAACATGAAGTTCAATAGAAAATCTGGTGGGAAAAGCTTAGGAGTCAAAAAACATCATCAAGGACTTCAAGCTTTAACTTGCTATTGATTTGTAAACCACAGACTTCTTGGATTTATTAGGGGACTTTTTTCTTTTTGTTTGTTTGTTTGTTTAGGATGCATTGCTCCAAATAACTTTGACAAAGTCTAGCTTTAAATAGTCAAGATAAATAGTTCTCTGGGTATGCTTCTATATACACTATATATTATATTTAGTCATATTAGTTCCCTCACTAATATAATAAAGAACTTTTCTATCCTTTGTGACATATTCAGCCTTTTTCTTTTCTTAGATGGCTTCTCTGAATGAGTACAACTTCACTGGACATTACTGTGTTACATGTTTATTTCTGACAATATGTGCATGTTTTCCTGGTAAGTATTAGGCTTTAAAATACCTTGCTTAAATGGCTCTGTTACCAGCTCCTAGCACGCGAGTATTTAATTGCTCAAATGGTAAGATCTTTTTTTTGTATCCTGGCTCAGTTGAGATGATCTTGGGTTTTTACCTCAGCATGAAGTTCTCCTTGAAAACATCTTTTCCTCAATATACACAACAATATTCAGAACAGAGTTTACCGTTACAACCAATTCTATTGTTCCCTTTGGGTATATTGTGGACTTAGAAAAGTTGGAGGAATGTATAAAATCAGTCCACCTTGCTGCCTTGAGCCCTTCTCAGACATGTAATCTCAGTCAGCCTCAACAAAGGAATGGAGTTTCGGCAAAGCATCTCTTGGCAGCACAGAGAGGCAATGAAACCTTGTGTTTTTTCAGTGAGCATGGTGACCTCTGACAACCTGCAGTTTAACTAGCATTTAAACATTATGTTTTGTTCTGACATCTTCCTAGCGTAGTAAGACACTGCTTGTTCGTATCTTTGAGGAAGTGCCCGTGAAAACCACAAGCACATGAAAATACTCTGTGCTACTTATCAAAATCAATACTTGCAGGATGAATTATCTTTAACAGAAATGCCTTCTTAAAATTGCTGGTAATGCTCCAGTATTTCTTAACTGATCAGTCTCAGCAGTAGAAAGGTGGTGGTGTACCACAATGGAAATTGCAGGTACCTGATGATAATGAGCTTCCCTGTGCTCTGTTGTGCTGCAAGGCTTGCAGGTGACATTTAGATGATCCTTCAAGAGGTATCAGTGGAGAGGCAGTACACAACAGTCAGGTTTTCTGTGACTGCTATCAGGTACTTAGGATCAATGTTGCACAGAATAGTTCTGGTGGTGATGGGGACTAGGATTAGAGTAAGATCTAAAGGGAGCAAGTCCTCACAGACTGTATTGTGTTACTGTTAGTTTGCTGGTTCAGTTAAAAAGCAATTGAAATGTGACATTCTAAATTCATGTGACTGAAGAAAAGGGTTAATTAAGAAGTTTGTGCTGCTCATTTGGTGTTTTTAACAGACACTTCATTGTTGCCATCTTCTCTGGTTCTCTGTGTCCACCAATTTTACTTTAGAAGGGGCTTCCTCAATTGCAAATTCAGTTCTTTCCCATCTTGACCAACCATATCTTAAATTCTATTTTAAATACAAACTCCTTTCTTCTTACTAAAGTTCTTATTTCATGCTCTTTCCAGTATTTATACATAATCTGTTATAGGTAGCCATCATACTGTAGCCTTCATTTTACTTAGCATTAAGCTTTATCTCCTTTCTTCTGATGCACTGTCTATGCTCTGATCACTTAGATGCCCACTTAAAACTTAATTTTAGCCTTTCTTGAACTTGAGTTGGTAAAGAGCATACCCATATCAGCATATAAATCAATGAATATAAAAATACATTAATACTTCCCTGTTATAAAGTCCTTGTTTGCCTCTTGGTGTCTGTCATGCAGTGTGATGGAGCACCCTAATCTCTTGCCCCTGCTGTTATTTGCAGCTGAACTCCAATTTGCCAAGAATATTATTAATTTAAATGCATTATGACAGTTTTTAATGAAAAAATTCTAGATTCACATATTTCTCCTGGTTTGGATTATTCTCAGTATTGGTGGCACCTCAGAGTTTTGTCAGCAGGTATCATTAGCTTACTCCTAACTTTTGTGCTCTACTCAGTTAAGAAAAGACTTGGAATTGATCCCAGACCAACTTAACAGAATTCTACAAATTCCCTTTTCAACACAGCCTTTGTTCTTTCTTACAAGTTCTTTATCCTTGCTCACGCTAATTCTCCTCTTCTGTAGTTTAACTAATTATGGGTTCTTGTCAAGTCTTCTGTGGACATCCAAGTTGTTTATACTGGATTCCTCATTTGGAATGTACATTGTGTCAAACTGACCCAGTATGTCCAGTGATTGACCTTTGATAAACCATGTGTTTGGTCGTGAGCCTTGGAAAGTGGAGATAAGACTAATTGTTCTACATTGTTGAGAATAACAATTTTTTTATTTTGCTATCTGCAATTTGATACTTAAAAGAAAAATCCTTGCTGCCAGAATAACAATTTCACTCAGTGATTATTTCCCTATACTGGGATGAAGGTCACTAAGTTTGCCTTGTTAGCTGAGTCATTTAAGTTTCTCAGCAGAATACTTAAGTCTGCTACAAAGAGGAAGTAGTGTTTTGGTGTGTGATTTTGTGAACCTGTGGACATATGCCATCTATATCTAAAAGGCATGGTTTTAATCCTAAAGCATAGTTTTATCCTAGGGTTTAATCCTAAGGCATGGTTTTAATCCTAAGGATTTTAAGGATTAAAAAATTGATGGTGAAAAACATCGGACATGCTGCTCTTTTAAGCAGTCTAGCAGAACCACCTGCTGTTCTCCTTCTGTGCTTTGAGGAAGGGTGAAGCTTCTATTTTTAGTGCAGTTCCACACAGCAGAACTAGAGACCCTGGTGCTAACTCGGGTGTAAGGTTTGTGTGAAATCTTGATGTTTGGACTACAGCGGGCGGAGCCCTAGCATGACTCACTGGGTAGCGACTCTCCTTGAGCAGCTAACC